ATGATGATGGTAGAAGTTATGACTAGCAGATACCAACCCCCCCAACTAAAGATGGCCGCCCCCCTCCCCCCTGCTTACCCGGTCTTTGGCTTCCTCAGGCTGCTGATGGCGCCCACCGGCGGCATGGCGCCCGGAATGGCGCCCGGCGTGGCGTGGAAGCCGGAGGCGTCCACCTGGATCTCGTCCTCGTCCCTCAGGGCGTCCTCCAGGGCGGCGGCCACCTTCGGGGCGATCACCGGCTCCTGGTACTCTTTGGTGGTGCGGGCCGGCAGGTCCATGTCCAGCATCAGGATGTTCTCAGCCTGAGGACACAAAAAACCTTCAGCCTCCTCCTCTTCCTCAGACCAAATAAAGATGGCCGACCCTTTGAAGGCCGACCTATATACATATATATATATATCCTTTCGGTTTTCCTGTTTTAATATGTAGGAGCAGAAAAATTGAGCAGCCTCTGGCTGCAGCCTGTAGGAGCCTCGGGTGGATGTCCAACTCAACCCATGTCCAAGACGGCCATTTTGATTATGTCATGTGACTAGCAGCTTTCTGAGGTGGAAACGAAACTTTACTGTCTATACGAAATCGGAAGATAAACGATGTTCTAACCCTGACCCTAACCCTGACTCTGACTCTGACCCTAACCCTAAATCTAATCCCAACCCTGACCCTAACCCTAACCCTAACCTTGACCCTAAACCTAACCCTGACCCTAAACCTAATCCCAACCCTGACCCTAAACCTGACCCTAATCCTAACCCTGACCCTAAACCTAACCCTAATCCTAAACCTGACTCTAAACCTAACCCTAAACCTGACCCTAACCCTAACCATGACCCTGATCCTAACCCTAACCCTGACCCTAACCCTAACTCTAACCCTCCTCCCTTCATAATTGTGAGAAATAAATATTTTTTGGTTAAACTTGTTTGGACTTATTGTACAAACCTATTTAACATCCACTATTTTAACATAATATTATGGATAGAGTTTAATTCAGTGTTTGCTATATTAATTTCCCTACTTTTAAATGAATGTCTGAATTGCCATTAAGCAATTAGCATTTTCTTGACTGGGATCTTCCTATTGGTGACCCAATCAAAATGGCCGACCTGGATGTGGGCGGAGTTGAGGGCCTTCCTGGAGGCGGGGCTTACCTTGTATCTCATGTGGGGCCTCATCATCATGGCCATGCGGGCGTGGTGACTCAGGGGCCGCCGGTAGCCGACGGCTGACCGGGGCCTGGACATCATCTGATGGTCACTAAGGGAAAAACACAGGGGGTTACATTAGAGCCCTCATTCCTGGGTTCTAGGTTTATTAGAAACTGAGATTGTTTGAGGTTTTTCTTTCACTTTAATCCAAAACCTGAATCTCTGCTCATTTCCTTCTCCTTTAATTACATTTCCAACCTTGTATTGATTCAATTATTCCCCCAAAATATCTGTTTATTTTATTTAAATCTGGTTTCTTTTTACGTTTCTGCTCATACAATCATCAGTATTTCAGCTTCATCATGCAAATGTGGTAGTGTAGGTTCAACAACAACAAAAAAAAAAAAAGTTTTAAAAAAAGGAAAAAAGAACATGTTCACCTAGCTCCATTTTTGTAGATTTTGTTTTTTTTGCAAATTACTATTTTACATGACTGAATTTTGGTTGCATTTATCATATAAAAAACATTTTTTCATTTTTTAAAACTTATCCATCTTTCATTCTTTTCAGAGCAGTTTCAGTCGTTCAGTAGTATTTATTTATCATATTTATAATAACATTTATACTCAGTTTCATTTTTACTCTGACACATTTAGAAATGTTTTGGAGGGAAAATCGTCATTTTTTTAATCAAACCAGAAACCAGGCTCCTGGTCTCAGGCCTTAAAAAAGGTTCCCGTTCCAGGACTTACTCTTCTATACGAGTGATGGGCTTCAGCTTCCAGCATTCCTCCTCATCGTCGAAGAAGGCCCTGTTCACTATTTTGTTCTTCTCCTCCGAAGGAATGAAGTTTTCAATGATCAGATGCCTGAAAGAGGAAAAGAGAGCAGTGAGCAGAGGCCCACAGGCTCCGCCTCCTGCCCACAGGCTCCGCCTCCCACAGCAGGACATGAGGCCACAGGCTCCGCCTCCTGAGGCAGGCAGAGGTCCACAGGCTCCGCCTCCCTCGGAGGGACGTCTGCCCACAGGCTCCGCCTCCTGCAGGAGAACGTCAGCCCACAGGCTCCGCCTCCCGCGGGAGGACGTAAACCCACAAGCTCCGCCTCCTGAGGCAGGCAGAGGTCCACAGGCTCCGCCTCCTGAAGCAGGACGTCTGCCCATAGGCTCCGCCTCCCGGGGGAGAACATCTGCCCACAGGCTCCGCCTCCTGCAGGAGAACATCTGCCTACAGGCTCCGCCTCCTGCAGGAGAACATCTGCCCACAGGCTCCGCCTCCTGCAGGAGAACATCTGCCCACAGGCTCCGCCTCCCGCAGGAGAACGTCTGCCCACAGGCTCC